TGAAGTCATTGCTACGAGTTTGTAACTGTCTATGGATTCAAGTCAAAGTTCAGAAATTCCTGCCAAAAAAACATTCCAGTTTGTTGCTGATAAGCAGTACATTGGGTTTCATTCATTCTTGTCGGTGATATTAATCACCACTAGAGAATTTCTCAAACGACATTTAAATAAAATTCCTAAAATTGCTATTATGAATAAAAAATCGCAGTATAAAAAGTAATCAATATTATAAATGCTTACTAGGAAAAATTGTACTAACTTGGAAACAGAAGTAGCAGCCATTTTCCAAATAGCAATGCTTTGCCTAGTGATGCTATACAGCAATCTATGATCGAAAGTTGAAAGTTCTGATAATATAGAATGAATAAGAACGGGAATGAAATCTGTTAAGGCATTTACAGAAGAATAAACAAATATAACTTTTGTCTACTAGAGTGGACATGATGCAACAAAGGGTTAACGATTTCCTCTTTTTAGATCATTTATCAATTTTAAAGTTCAGAAAATGAATATTCTTTTAAAAATTCAGAAACCGAATCGAATTCAGAAACATGTTATTGCTCCTGAACCAATGACCGTTTTCTGAACCTTCAACACATTTTTTGAAAAAATTGCTGAGCTCTTTGATACTAATTGTTGAATTAGTTAATTCAAGTGTTCTCTTTGAGTCCTGTTGAAATTTCACATGAATATAAATACAACTTAAATACGAAGCTTTGCTTTTATTAATCATTACACATGAATAGAAATTTACACATTCAGGGTGCATAAAAGAAATAAAGGCAATGATTGAACAATCTATTGTGAAACGAAAATTATGTATTTCAGTAGAAACGTGACTCAAATGATGAGAATAGTTTTATACACTTAGGATAAAATATAATTAAAGGAAACCTTCAGAAAAATACATCGATAAAATTTAAAATATATGCATGCAGCTTTCTGTATTACGTTTTCTGCTTTTCAATAAAGGAAAAATGAAAGTTTATTTTTGAAACAAAGTTTACAAATCGATAAAATAAATAAATAAATACAATTTATTTGCTTTATTTACTAAGAATCAGTAAATTTCAGATCTCGATTTAAACAATATTCATTCGAATGTTTTGCTTTTCAGTATGGTTTCTGAAAGACATAAGGAACTCGCGGAAGTATTACGTTCAAAAAAAACATAACCTCAACTCACTAGACATGAAATTTGTAAAAGAAATGTAGAAACAAATTTTTAGAGAAGAACGTTGGCACACATGAAGAGAGAGATTCTCAAATTTGTAATTTTTAACTAAATTTGTTATACAATTCTACGCCACACTTTATATCACATCTCTTATTAAGTTCAAATTTGCTTCATTATTTACCTCAGAACTTCAGAAAAAGGTAAATCATAAATTATCTTTCACACATCTTTAAATCCGCCAAATTATAACTTTCTTTTAAAAATAAAATTCAGAGACAACTTGCTTGTCCTTGCAATAGAAAGATCCATTTAAGTACGACGAAATGAGATAAAATGAATGAAATTTGTAACGTTTCGTATAAACTAACAGATATTAACAGATTGTGTAGGGAATTACCCCTAAGTACGAGAATGTACAGAGAAGGATGTAAAGAACACTTTATTAACTCAGTTATGATTCACTGATGGCACCAACTTGTGCTTATGAAAGCCAAAAGTTTTGGTTTAACTCAAAAGGTAACGGGTAACTTAAAATTAAATATTATTAAGTTGCTTTTCATAAGTTACTTAACGCACTGACTCATAAAAGTCGGCATAACCAAGCCTAATGACAAGAAGCTGTCAATTCCACAGAAATCTAATCACTATTAAATCAAAGATAAAAACGTAGTCTTCAGGCAGGGGGAACACTCTAAATTCACCAGTTCCAGTTGCCGCTGTCGTCGCGGCTAGCTTGTTTAAATATGCAAGCTGTATATCGGCTATCGTAACATAGGTGTTTCAAGGAGCGATGCAAGTATAGAAATGCATGAGTGGGTCCAAAGAACAGGAGGAAAGTTGGTGACTCCTTTGTCACGCGAGATAGGTGAAAAACCACATTTTACGGAATTATAAAGAACATGAAACATAAAATGCATACTTTTCCTCAGAAAATAAACCACTATTTACATAATATTTAGAAATATATGTCATGCTAAAACAGTAAAAAGTCCTACGAAGAGTAGGAAAAAATTTAGAATGCTTGAATTTAGAATCACAATGGATTTATAATAACAATTTTAAATCCTATGCAGGGAAATTTTGGTTTTCCTTTAATATAAAAGCTGTGAAAGGGTGCAAGTGTCGATCTTCATCCAGAATTTCATAGCTGAAGAGATTGAAGTGATTCATAATGTTGGAATCTTGTGCATACTGATAGAACTGCTTATTTATCTTGCGTAAGAACTTCGCAGGGATTCTACTTTGAAGTCATCATAAAGACACTTATTCCTTACAAAAAAAGTGGGCATCTGTAATGATACTCAGGGTACCTGTGTAGAGACATCAGATATTTTTAGAAGTAGGCAAGATTTTATTTTTTATTTTATTTTATACCACTGAGCTGACTTCCGACCTTAGGTGATATACCAAACAGAATATATCAGCTCAGCGGAAATATCTACAACTAGCAGCCTTCCCCCGCCAAGGTAGGGGCTAGCTGATCAACGGCATTTATTATCAATTTTCCAAATATTATACACAGTAATATACAAATTACACCTTTTGAATTATATACGATTTTAGAAAAATATACATATGCAACTTTAACATTCTATTCCTATATGTAACTGTGATGTTACATTAACAATAGTGTCAGTAATATACATCATTGCCAATAGTACACAATGTCATTATTACAGTAGTAGTATAAGTCTAATATGCACATAGTTCACATAGTTCATATTCAATAACAACAGCTCTTACATAATTTTTACAAGTTTAATTTGCCCATAGTTCACATAGTTCATATTCAGTAACAACAGTTCATACATAATTTTGAGATAATATCACTTGTAAGTATTTCTGGTACTTAATCTTACAAATTAACATACGTTTACAACAATAATAACTAATAATAAAATACACATTACATAAATATTGACAACACATTAATGCATTTATACATAAGCAATTAAATAATTATATACAAATACATACAATACACAAATACATTTATAAGTACATGAGAAAGTCAATACAAAGAACCCTGAATAGTACATATACACTAAATATTTAGGATTACCTAACCACGCTATTAATATTATTAAGCCAATTACTTTTTATACTATTGTCGAGTGCTATTTAAGTAACTATTACATATACTACAACGTACCATTACATATAGAATAAATCTACATATCTGCGAAATACAAAACAACTAATAATACTTGCATTATATACCATTAATAGAAATTAGCCATTAAGCCTTTTAGCAGCAAACTAAAGAGAGTAATTAAAGAGTTTAATGCACAAAGAAATCGATAATCTTCAGTATTCCCCAAAACATATACACACTCAAACTTATTATATATGAATCAGCTGAATGAAAATCCTAATGTTAATCCTATAAAAATCAAATTAATTGAGGTGACAATACGACAATAGGGTCGGAAAGTGGTTGAAAATAACAACACCACCTTCCGTTTAACAAGATTCAAAATATATTAAGAGATTTTAAGATCTAGTGTGAAAGTATAGACATATTAAAAAGAATCAAATTATGCTAATGCAGCACTATTATTAAAACTGTTTTGATTATCAAATAATGTATGAATCCCAAAGCACTAAGCAGGCAAGATGAAAAATTAGCAACGCCTTCGCCGAGAATTTAACCATGGACGTCTGGAATACGCGCCTAGCTTGCAGACCACCACGCCACGAAGGCATGCTAGGAAGGCAGGAGAAATACCTTATAGACTCCCCCTTTTAAAGGGCGAGTGGGGTTTTAGGGGACCCAATTGCCAAATCCTGGGTGTGGAGAATCATCATCCAACACCCTTTAAGTTCGGGCGCCACTGTAGCGACATTAGGTATTTTTGGAAGCAGGCAAGATGAAAAATTAGTAAAGCCTTCGCCGGAATTGAACCACGGACCTCTGGAATACGCGCCCAGCGTGCAGACCACCACACCACGAAGGCATTCTAGGAAGGCGGGAGAAATACCTTATACCTGTTTTGCACCACTTGTAATTTTTTAAGTTCCAATAATTGTCATCCAGAATAAGTTAGTCAACAATTGTCATCCAGACCGGTGAAGCGTAGGCCATTGTTGGCCAAATAACAGAAAAATAAATGAGTCTCTTCTTATCAGAATCTAATTAAGAGTATTTTTCCAATTGATGGGATAAAGACATTTAATGGTTTTTAGTGCCCCGTTTCTCACGTTATTAACGTTCTGAGTCAATGTGAGGCGATCGTCAAACAACATTCCAAGGTATTTTGCTTGAGAGACGACAGGAACAATTTCACTGAAAAAAGTGAGTCCTTTTTAAAGCGGAAAGTTCCTTTTTCGTTTCCGAATAATCAGAAATTGTAACTGGACGCGTTGATTTTAACTTTCTACAGTGCACATCATTTTTCATCTAAATTCACCCTCCAAAACTTTCCCATAAATACTAATTACTTTCTACCTCATTTAAATACACGCGAGGTAATTCATTTACATTCTGGCAAGAAAGCGTGGGTTGAAAGCAAGAGCGATAGAAAAAGTTGCTTGAAAATAAAATTAAGGATTAAGTAAATTAAATAAATTCCCACAAATTAAAAGTCGCTTATTTTTTTAGTTCTAGTTTTATTTACGAAAGAACGTCTACGGCCATGATTTTAAAATACACTGTGATGTTACACTGTGATTAGGGAAAGAAAACTACTTTGTGCCTTTTATATAAAATAAGTGCTTATTTCAGAACATAATAGACATTTTCAGTGGGTTTCGAAAAACGTCAAAACGTTGTTATCAGTTTCATTGTTTCGTAACAAAGTACAGATGAATAGCTGACTAACAGATGAACTGCTTGTTGCTGCTGAAGAACTGGCATTTAGCTATTGGTCACATATGGCCTTATTCTTCGTGTCATTTTTCTATAGGAACCCGCCACAGTTGGCAAAGAAGAGAGAATCCTTTTAACTGTAAAGTGTACATCATTAATTCAATTAATCATCCATATAAACATAATCTGCGACTCGTAAGTAAAGGTTTAATATTTTTCTCGTTCAAAGATATAGTAATTTAGCTATCATAAATACCATTTCCTCTTTCTGTAATTTATCTTTTTGAATTCTATATTTAAGATGACAAGTTTGACTACTTGAGATCTGCATTTAAAAATCATTTTGTTGTTGATAAATTTTCCATAAAAATAGATTGAATGGGATTTTTTCCGACAATTCTTAACGTATGCAATAATTTTATAATATAAGGACCTTTAAATTCGATGATGTGATGATTCACCTGCTTTAGAATTTGGTTAATCTCTGTATGATACGTATTCTTGTGTCTTTTTTACAAACCCTTTCCTAAATTTTTCGCTTTTTCATTTTAATATTATATTTTATACAGATCGAAGGGAAATAATCAACTACGAAAACTTTGAAACTTTATTTGGATTTCATTCGTTCATCTAAACAATTTCACATATAAGTTCGAAATAAGTCATACTGAAATTCTTGACGTTGAGTATAAAAGAGATCTCTTCTATCTCTATTCCTGATCATATATATTCTGAAAAGCATATAAAATTAATCAAATACAAAGAATAGCATACAATATGCCAATATCATTATAATATAACAAAAGCAAAATAAATATAGGAACTTAAAGCTGATAGCTGATAATTTCTAAATAAACATTTATCTACTGTTTGCAAGACAGCAGATAAATTTGCTTGATGTCTGATGTCTTTTAAAAAGACATCAGATAAATGCTGCCTTAAAAAAGCATCTGTGTTCTTAATGCAAAGGAAAGATTTATATTTAATTTTTAAACTAAAGGTTTATATTAATTTGTAGTAAATATATCTTATGAAAATTTTTAAAATAGAAAAGGAACAAGAAAGTATCTGGCAAATTGTTTTCAGTTGAACTAAATTTTGACATCAGAATGTGTTAATTTTAATTAATTATTTTATGAGTATTTATTCAAAATGCCTAGATTTTAATAAATAACCTAACGATATCATTTTATAAAGCTAGATGTTCTTTGCACTATGTGAAATGCTGTAATGAGTTTTTGTAAAATATGCAAAAATTGTAATTCACAAACATGATAACTAATAATTCTGCAATAAATCAACACTTACTATCGTATTCGAAAAATAAAATAATAAAACGTAGACTCCGAATGTATTTTATCATAATTAATTAATGAAACTCATGCGCTTCAAAATTTAATTCTGGCTCTATGTAAGCAGTCGGGCAAATTATCTTAATCTTCCAGAATATAGTAGCAAACTCAAAAACTTTAAAAAAAAACCTTTATTACTACAAATTCAGTTTAACAAAACAGCATAGCTCTTGCAATGAGAAATATTTACCAGATCTTGCTAAATTTAACAAAATGTAGAAATTTTGGCTTAGCCCCCCCCCTAGTAATGCGAAAAAACATGGCTAGCAAAATGCTAAATCCAATACAGTTAACCTAGCAAAACTGGTTCAGAGAAGGTCAACGGTTACTACCAAAAACTCTTTCAAGATTTTCGTTTTTGTAAAAATTAACTAATTTACAACCTGTTTGGAGAAAATGAATGTAGTAGTGACAATAAAGATAAAAAAAGTAAAGTAATGGATTAATAAGCCTAAAAACCTTGCGAATTTACTAACTAGTTAGGAAGTAATATGTATAGAAGCTGCTCCAATGAAATAATTATTAGTAATTGTTATTAAGACTAGCCTGTATGTAATAGAAAACGTAGAAATGTTTTTATATTGCATATATAAGGTATTTTTCGTTAGAAAACTATTTATGGAAACAAGTAAAATAATTTTGGCGTGAGAAACATAAAATAAATCTCGCAATATCCGTTCTTAATTCAGGAAGGGTAAAAAATAAGCAACAAAGTGTTTGAAAATTTTAAATCCCGTACTGTCTTCTCTCTTTCAGTTTTCGGAGAATACAGGTTGCACACGTTATAAGGGAAATCATTATTCAATATTGAAACAAAAGCAATACAAATGTAGAAAGAAACTAGACGCGGTGAAATCATACTTTTTAGTCTATTAAAAAACAGATATTACGGCTGGGCAAGGACTCAGACAGTAAATAAATAAAAGTAAACCTGTGTGTAGACAATAGTGATTGCCTTACCGTTAACATTTGAAGGTTAAACATTTGCAAAAATTCATCTAAATTAATTTAAATTGTTCTTAAAAATATATATAATCATGAATTTCTTTTGTTCAGTTTAAATGAAGGAAAAATTTAAAATCACGCAAAAAAATTAACAATAAGCTTAATTTTACTTATAAGGAACAAATAAGAAATTAATAATACGGAAATTAATTAAAATATTAGAATTAAACGGAAATTAGAATTAAACGGAAATTAATTAAAATATTAAAATATTAGAAATTAATACCACGGAGGGGGTTTCTTATAAATAATTATAAGAAACCCCCTCCGTGGTGTAGTTGGTAGCATGTTTTGTTGCCTTCAATCTCTTCCCCCATTTGTCCTTAAGGTGAGGGAGAAATAAGGGATTTCGCCTTTCCTACTGCGTGGTCTCTTGGTGTAATTGGTAGTGGTGTAATCTTACGGGAGAAATAAGGGATTCGCTTTCCTACTGCGTGGTCTCTGGTAGAACGTCTGGATAGATTGAAATCCGGGAAGATTCGGAATTCGAAATACGGTAACAACATAAGTGAGTTTTTGTGCATTTTGTTCTTAAAAAATAATTAATAGCTGTAATTCAAAATTTTTTTTACCTAAATCTTTACTTTTTGGTTTAACCTTTTCTTGATTCAAAAAAAAAAAAAAAAAAAAAAAAAAAAAAAAAAAAAAGGGAGAGATTTAAATATCTAGAAACTAAATAATTAGAAATTAACTGCATTCTCTATTACTTTTGTGAGTACTTGGCAAAGTACTCTTTCCCGAAGATAAAGGAAAGATCTTAATTATTAGTCCAAAGAGGCTTTGTTCCTGAAGGACTAGTGTTTTTGTTTTGCGATTTTGCGTTGGTTCAGTATAAATGTCCGTTTCACTTTTCCAACTGTTGCCACCCAATGTTAGAGTCCTGTTTTATATTTGAAGATATTACATAATGAAGAATCTGTATAAATGTATGTATGTTTCTCGCATTGTGGTAAAACAACGGTACATAGAGCCATCGAATTTTGAATGACGTAATCCTACTGCGAATATGAACATGTGGAAGACCAAATTTGAAATTTGGAATTTTTTTTCATTATCGATTTCACATTTAGTAAAACTTTAACGAATTTCTTATTAACAAACTCAAGGATTTCAAAGCGACGGCAACGTTGTACAGAAAAAAAACATTTTTATCTCCAACGCATGAGACTGTGTATCGGAAATTCTAAAGATATGCTCAAATTAAAATTATTCTGCGGTATTGCTCTTGAACTCAATTTTATGTTTTAAGTGCAAAGAACATGATACTTAATAAATAAAGGTAACAGACAAAATGTTAAAAAACACCCCTTTAGACATAATTTAAAATCTGAAATAATATAATGTAAGTAATATAAGTATAAATAAATAATATAAGTTTCAGATTTCTTTTTTTTGTGGTTATTTTATTAGTCCAAAGGGGCAATTTGTCCTGAAGGACCATTATTTTCGTTTCGGCATTTTGCGTTGGCTCACTATAAATGCCCGTTTCACTTTCCAAATTGTTACCACCAAATATTATCGCCCTGTATTGTATTTAAAGAAATTAAATAATGAAGAATCTGCATAAATGTGTGTATATTTCTCGCATTGTGATAAAACAACGATCCAATTTTGAATAACGTACGTTTTCACCTGAATAAGGGCATATGAAAGCCCAAATTTGGAATTTGTTTTATTATCTATTTCATATGTTATAAAACTTTAACTAATTTTTATTAACAACCTCAACGATTTAAAAGCGAGCAATGGCAATACTCTACGGGGTAAAAAAAAAAACCTTTTTACATCCAACGAGCGTGACTGTTAATCAGAAATTCTATAGACACGCTCCTTTTAAAATTATTTTGCGATATTTCTGTTTAACTGAATTTTACGGCTTAAGTGCGAAGAACATGATATTTAATAAATACAAGGTTTATAAGGTAACAAACAAAACGTTAAAAGAAAACCCTCCCCTTTGGATGTTATTTAAAATCTGAAACCTTTCAGATTTAAAAAAAAAATTTTTTTTTTGCATTTAATTGTAAAACTTAGAATTTTTTTATTAACAAACTCGTCGATTTGAAAGCGAGTAGTGGCAATACTTTTCGAAATAAAGTAGATTTTTATCTCCAGCATGTGAAACTATTGCTACTCGGGAAAATGAGTGTGAAAATTAGCATTTTCAGAGTTTTTATTCAATATCTCTGGATTTTAGCTATTTGCTTTTGGAAAAACTTGAACGTCGACCTTTTCCAGGACTCAGAAAAGAATGGTCAAAAGTTTGATGACGATAGCTATAGTAGTGACTGAGTTAATCGCGAACAAACACACAAACATTCTTCTTTGTATATATAGATAAAGAAAACTTTGTCGAAAGCACAGCCATCTGACGTGTTAGATAACATTTACTTTAAATTTGATAATAAATACAAACACAAATTTTTAATGAATACAAATAAATACCAATTTTTAGTGAATTTATCAGGTTCAATGTTCCGTCTTACTTTCTTCGGGAACATGCAAGGACCTGACTCGGAACAGAGAGCTTACTAAAGCTATGTTCAATAACTGTGGGAAGTAGACAGGATACACAGAAGGGTATACAAACCCTTTATTTTTCTCTATTTACAATAACTTCCGTACTTCGGAATACAAAGACCCACTACTTGTGGTCTAAACGTACTAAAATATAAAAATAAAACTAAACTCTAATTTAACTTTAAAGTAATAAACGTGGAAGATTGGCCTTATATTAACAGGAAGCCGTATGTAGTACAGAGAACTGTGAACACTACAATACGTTTAAAGTTATCAAGAGGATTAAACCTCTGGCCTGGAAGGCAACCAGCAACTGAGTAAAAACTTCTAAGGTAAGCGGCCTGCTTCGACTAACTGCTTCCTCTCTCTCTCTCGCTTGGCAAAAAGCCACAACTTAAGTACTTGGCGTTCGCCAGACAAATTTTGCATAAATAAGTTAACGCTTATAATTCTGGCCGGAAGTAGAAAATAAGAAGTGATAGTAAAGATTTAAAGATTTAAAATAAAATAAACGTTAGTAAAACTTAAGATCCTTACAAATTAATTTAAATAATCCGCTAATTTTTAACTTTGCATGAGAGATTTAGTAATATGCAAATATATTCAGTAGAAAATATCGCATTTTTTTAATGTTGAACATTTTTTTTTTTTTTTTTCAGAATACGCCATACTCACAATACTTCCACTTAAAAATCCGTCCAGTTATTTCTTCCATGATGAATGTTGTTTTGGTAATGACTCTGGCCGCCCTCTCTTGCTTACTTGTGGTTTCGGAGCCTCCACCCAAGAAACTCTTTTTCCGAGTAAGTGTAATAGGTATTAACTTTGTGTTATTACTGAACTGCATTACTCTTCTGTTTTGAATTCTTTCGACGAAATATGTGTTTAAGATTTACTTCGTAATTTTTAATACATATATTTTGAGTTTTTATGTATTTTTGCCTTGTCGCGAAGTGAGAACTGAATTAATTGAATGATAAATACTCAATCGTCTGTGAAATTTTTTTATTTTTGTTTTGTTTTGTTTTGTTTGCTTAATTTCTTTTATACATCGTTCTAGCTTTATTATAGTATTTGAATAGAACATGTGGCAACAATTAGATAATTCTCTTCTTTAAATGACATAAATTTTCTGCATTATGAGTTATAATATGAACGAAATATAATACTGTTAAGTGAACCTAGCGCCAGAGTGTCGCTATGGTAAACAAAGAGAGTGTATTTTAAAAGAATGCATTTATTTTATTGTCGTTTATGCGCTGTCGGCGAAGTAGATTTAATTCAATCCAATAAGTTGAAATGAATTGCAAGAAAAATACGTATAATTTAATTTTCCGTATAAGGAAGTCATGTGATGTACACATCAGATTTTTGTTATAGCTATATAAATAGAAATTAGTGTTTAAAACAGATCTCAAGGTTTATTCCAGTCTTCATAAAACATCGCAAACTTGACATTCGAAACAAGACGGGGACATTTTCTGCATAAAATTTCTCAAAATTAACCCCATTCGGTCCACATTCAATGTAATAATTAACATTGAACAATATTCGAATAATGCTAAATATATGTGGTCAAGCTAGATATTTCATAAACTATAGCGTTTCTCTCTTTTGGAAGAACAAACTAGTAAAAAAATGCTAACAGACCTGGAGCGAATTATTGCCGAGTCTGAAGGCAACGTTAAAGACCGGAGAAGGTTAAAAGTTAACCTTTTTATTATATCAGAACTTTGAACATAAAGGCACTTCTCGTGCTCACAAAAGCAGCCACAACTCGTGGCGATGCAATTCAGTAACAGTCAAATTCAAATTTATACTAAGCCTAGTAGTCAAAGAAAATGCAATTGATTTTAAACATACTTACATATTAACGCAACTCTCTTGCGCAATTCGGTGATGTTTCACAGGTTAAAAATTTAAAAGTTGCTTATTGGGTACAATTTGGTCAGTGCATTTATTAAGAAAGACTCCAAAACTATCAATATTTATCTTAAATCAGTAAATATAATCACAAACAAAAACCTACATTAGCAATTTAAAATAAAGCTTTGAATTATTAAGTAAGGGTTAAGGGGTGCATTAGAAATATGAAACACTTGCAGTCATCTTTAAATCTTGCTGTTATCATTTTGTGTTATTCTTCTTTCGAAGCACACAGCGATCTGTTTTAGCTTCAGAAAACATCAGAGAATTGCGGAGATTTGGATTCGTGCAAAAAATCCTCCCAAGTAACGGTTATCGAGGAAACGCATTTTCTCTTCTAGTTGTTTCCTTTAGAAAATTTTCATCCCCTCCCCCCCAAAAAAAAAATTCTTGCAGAAATGTCACCTCAGCTTTTTTCTACTACTACTACTCAGTGGCGAAACATCCCTAATGGGCCAAGGCCTGCATTGCCCGGAAATCTGCTTTCTTGACCGTGGGCCCCGAGGTGTGAAGCATATGCCCTGAACAAGTAGGCAGCTTGTCGCAGGACCCGCAGTGTTTAGTCCCCAAGCGAACTTGGTACTCATTTTATCGACCCAAGGGATGGAAACCAACGGATGAAAGGCTGAGTCGAACCCAGCCCGAGAATCGAGCCCCGGACCTGTGGTGCTGCTGCGCGATGCGCTAGCCACTGCGCCATCGGGCCTCCAGCCTTTTTCATTGCTGGCAAATTCCACAACCTCATATTTTAAAACTAATACCACGATTTGTTTATAAACACGGTTGGAACTTCAAAAAACAAAAAGGAACGCATAAGAAAATGGCGGCGTTGCTTGACTGAGGGGTTGTTATGAGCATGATTACCAGAAGAATGGCAATGCACGTGGTTGCCAGAGTTCGGTACATTCTGAAAATTTGGCGTCTTCTGCTGAGGTGGTAGCATTAATACACCATTTGCAATATAGTACCACTTTAAGTGGGTTCAGAACTTGTCGCCAACGTAACAGTTCAATGTCGGCTGCACAAAGCTGAGGAATCAGAATCTTATAAAAACTAGCGAAAACTAGAGCAGAAAGATTTGGTTTGGCTCGGGAGGCAGAAACACGCTTTGCCTTACAATCCAAAAACCTTGACATAATATTCTTTAATTAACTTGAATTCTAGTGACAAAATGAAACTTGGAAGTGATAGTAAAGATTTAAATCATAGCACCTGAATAATTAACATAATCGAAACTCTAGAAACCAATGATGCAGAACCATTTGCATTGACACTACCTACTGTCGATTTAAGCACTTATCCAGACTTATTACACGGAGCACTGAAGGTCTGCAACTGCATATGGTGTTCCTTCATTTGCCCGGGCAGAAGAGATATGACGGAATTTTTAAGTCGCATATCTCCTGAAGGAAGTGGCCCACCGAAGTGGCGATTTTAAAATCTTATAAAAGGAGAAAAACCTCTCAGTTCGTGGTCAGCAGAGCTCGGAGTCAGTAGTTGGGTGGGTGACCACCCACGTGACTGGCCTCGACGTATCATCTTTCTTCAACTGTGAAGATACATCACAGCTTGTACGGCGGACAGATGCACAAGCGTCTAGCCCCTCAGACGCTAGTTTCCTCCTGGTTCCTCCCTGAACATCTGCGCAGATTATTGCGCATATCGTCATTTCCCTGAAGGCGCCTCGTATTTACTATTATTTACTTTGCTCTTTGCCCTGCTGTGGTAGCAAAGATTATGTATTCTAGCGTGTGATTGCAGATACAGTTCTCTTTTTTTATTTTGCTTCGATTATTATATTTTCTGCACAAAATCAAGAAAAACTGCCCCTTTCAGGGCCAAGTACTTCTGTTTCCTCAGAAGGTATTTTTGATTCTAAATCGAATCAAAATTAGGAAGGAGTAATCGTGAGCGATAATTCCAGTATGATCTAATTCTGGTTGTGTTGTGAGTGATATGGTTCGTTGTGAAAATGATTTTAGTATAGCTCAGAGTGATTTTGTTTGCCGTGATTGTTTAAAACTTTCAACTATAGATACAATTTGAAACGCATGCATATAAATTTCATTACAATTAATAGTCTCTGAAAACTCAATTAATTAATTGAGTCTCTGAAAACTAAGTAGTATTATTCTAATAGTATGGTTGATTGTGCAAATAATTTTAGTGTGGCTGAGAGTAATTTTGTATGCTCTGATTGCTTAAAAACGTACCAAAATAAATGCAGTTTGAAACGGCATACCAACACATTACACTCTAATAATACTACATTAATGATTCTTTAAAAAGTGGTCGATCACCAAGCTACAAATGTGAGGACTGCCATCTGAAATTTAATGACATAAAAAATTGTAAATATCATCAAAATAAAATTCATACTTCTAACAGGTAATTATGTGTGTCCTGTATGTTATGCTAATTTTGAAAAGCGAGAAATAATATTTCATTTCAATAATGTTCCTGATGTTGATTTGAATCATACTGAGCTAGAATTTAATTCATTTAATGATTTTTTGGCATGGAAGGCAGAAATTGAAAATAATATGAAGACAAAATTTCTTATGGAGTAGGCATATTTAATATACATGGTGTAATGCCACTGTTTAAGAAATTTTATATCAGAAAGTAAAGGTTTGCGTCACTTAAAAATCCTTAATAGCAATAAAATAAATGCATATTGCCCAGCTGCATTAAAAGTAACAGAACATACAGATGGCAAATGTGTAGTGTCATATCAGAAAATACATATTGGCCATTGGAATGATTTAGGTCACTTATTTTTAACAACAGATGAAATAAAAAATATTGCATCAAAGATAGCAGCAAAAATTTCTCTGGATAATATTTTAGATGAAATTAGAAATTCTCTATGAGATGCTGGGCTTGAGAGGGTTCATTTACTTGCAAAACAAGATTTACATAACAGTAAAAATCTTTCAATTTGTCTTCTAATTCTGTTAAACATGAAAATGATTAGGTTTGTGTAGATACGTGGGTACCTCAAATGCAAAATCCTGAACATCCATGTATTTCATTTTATAAAACCCAGGGATCAAGAAAGCATGAGTGAATATTGTACACAATATTCATTTCTAAAAGGAAATGATTTTGTTTTGATAATGATGACAGAAGCACAAAGAGAGATACTGAAAAAATTTAGTTCTGACTTGTATATGTATATTGATGGTACACATGGGGTGAATGCATACAGATTTGAACTCATAACTTTACTTACAATAGATGATTTACACGCCAAGGATTCCCTGTGTGCATTTTTAATTTCTAATCGATGTGATCAGCCAGTGCTATTCATTTTTTTTCATGTACTATTAAAGAAAATGTTGGGTGGGCAAATACAACCACAAATATTTATGTCTGATATGGCTGAATCTTTTTTAATGCTTGGAAGTATGAAATGGGTTTACTACAGAAACGTCTTTTTTGTGCATGGCATATTGTTAATAGAGCCTGGAGAAACAATTTTTTAAAAAAATCAATGGTGTTGAAAAACAGGCAAAAACATATAAAATTATTAGATCTTCTCTTAGAAGAACAAGACATTCATACTTTTCATATACTGACAGAAGCAGCAATTAAAATTACTTAAAGAAGATCCTGACACTATTGAATTTGCAAATTACTTTGAAACATATTATTTACAAATACATCTAGCTGGGCATACTGTTATAGACTTCACAGTGGTGTTAACACAAACATGCACATCGAACGAATGCACCGAACATTAAAATATATTTATCTTCATGGAAAAATGTTAAGAGATTGGATAACAGGCTATATATGGTATTATGAGATTTGTAAGAGATAAAATGATTAATCGCTTAATTACAGCAAATAAAGGTAAATTAACAAGTAAGAT